GCTTAATAAAATTAGTGTAAAATGTCTCTTCAGAGAGGTGACTAAGGCCCTAAATCTATACATTTTGTATAGATAAGAAGTCATCACAACCAGCTCTCAGATTTAACTGAGCCTCTTATTACTTGTGTAAAAATACAGTCCGTATTGATTGCTGCTTACCAGACTGACAAGTATTGACCATGTGACTTCCACTAGATTTGGAGATTAGAAGCAGACCAAGGTGCCGATCTTGTGGGAAAAGCAAGTGTGTTTGCAAAGGCAGATCGCAAATGACCCCAGTCACAATGACAACAGCAGGTGTATGTAAACAGGAGAGACCTTCAGTTATTAGGTGTCGTCCCTCTGTATGTTTTGGCATGGAGTCTTCCCATTATGACTTTAAAGTAAACTACACTCACTCGCTCAGCCATGCTTGTTGTCTGATTCATCCGAAGTTTAGTTTTTCAGAAGCTAAAAATATTTTGCTGATCATCTTTGTTAAAACCATGAAGGTTTTCAGTTTTAAAGAAATCCTAAGGAAGATGCTTCGTTTTTTTGTTTTGTTTTATTGTGCCAGTTTAACCACCTGAACCTATCCAACTGCAGATGTTTTTCAGAATAAAGTATATGCTGAATTCCAAAATGCACTGAAAACTGTACAGATACATAATGTTTTCTTTATTATTATGTTTTAATTACTCTGATACACCAAGCAGAGCAGTGCCACAAAATTGTGTGGCTTTCTATTCTATTCTATTCTATATCAGAAGGCAGAACTTAAATGCAATAGTAACATGGGTCTAATTCCAATCCAGTGATAATGAAATCTCTAGTTGCTCAGCCCAAACAACAGAGGTTACATGAAGACCTGTGTGTTGACGAATGTCCGATTTTACAAAAGTTTGTGATTAAAAAGTTTAATAGATGATATTAAACCACATAATCTATTCTTTGTTTCTGTAGTTTGAGATATATTCCTTCAAAAAAATCAATCCATAGGTCCCAGACCTGTGGTGTTACCCCAGTTTCTTCTGGTTATCCAGTGTCTTTCCTTCTTTTCTTTTCTGTCTCCCTCATCCACCGCCTCAGTCCTTCAACCCCTCTGATGGGTCCGACATCTCTGGTAGGCAGCACATGTAGGGGATTATCAGACGCTTGTAAGGAAGAAATAGTGTTTCCCCTGCTCGTCTCGCATCGTGCAATGATCTGTCTTTTCCCGGGGGGAGGTTCATGTGTCGGGTTATTTGTTTCTGAGAGACTGTGGCCAGAAGGACTCCTAGGTTAAAACCAATAATCCCAGTCCTGTTCTGCACATTTGAACTGATATGTTCTGCCTACTCTTGAATTAAAGCGGAGGGCTTACAAGTGATCCCATGCAACAGTTCCTGCCAGTAGTTTAGAGCAGAGGAGGTACTGCTGTTTGTGTTTGTGGATTTTAACCAATATCCTAACAAAAGCTTCCAAAAGTCTGACTGTTAGATTAATTGGTGATGAAATACAATGTTCTCTGATTGTTAAAAATGGTTCAAATATATTATCCAATTTTATACATATACATAAAAAAAAAAAAGAAC